CTGGGACCAGCTCCTAGTTCTGCTGCTATAGACTGAAGACTCTCCTCTTATAGTGAGGGTTCAGACTGATCTGGGACCAGCTCCTAGTTCTGCTGCTATAGACTGAAGACTCTCCTCTTATAGTGAGGGTTCAGACTGATCTGGGACCAGCTCCTAGTTCTGCTGCTATAGACTGAAGACTCTCCTCTTATAGTGAGGGTTCAGACTGACCTGGGACCAGCTCCTAGTTCTGCTGCTATAGACTGAAGACTCTCCTCTTATAGTGAGGGTTCAGACTGATCTGGGACCAGCTCCTAGTTCTGCTGCTATAGACTGAAGACTCTCCTCTTATAGTGAGGGTTCAGACTGATCTGGGACCAGCTCCTAGTTCTGCTGCTATAGACTGAAGACTCTCCTCTTATAGTGAGGGTTCAGACTGATCTGGGACCAGCTCCTAGTTCTGCTGCTATAGACTGAAGACTCTCCTCTTATAGTGAGGGTTCAGACTGATCTGGGACCAGCTCCTAGTTCTGCTGCTATAGACTGAAGACTCTCCTCTTATAGTGAGGGTTCAGACTGACCTGGGACCAGCTCCTAGTTCTGCTGCTATAGACTGAAGACTCTCCTCTTATAGTGAGGGTTCAGACTGATCTGGGACCAGCTCCTAGTTCTGCTGCTATAGACTGAAGACTCTCCTCTTATAGTGAGGGTTCAGACTGATCTGGGACCAGCTCCTAGTTCTGCTGCTATAGACTGAAGACTCTCCTCTTATAGTGAGGGTTCAGACTGATCTGGGACCAGCTCCTAGTTCTGCTGCTATAGACTGAAGACTCTCCTCTTATAGTGAGGGTTCAGACTGACCTGGGACCAGCTCCTAGTTCTGCTGCTATAGACTGAAGACTCTCCTCTTATAGTGAGGGTTCAGACTGACCTGGGACCAGCTCCTAGTTCTGCTGCTATAGACTGAAGACTCTCCTCTTATAGTGAGGGTTCAGACTGATCTGGGACCAGCTCCTAGTTCTGCTGCTATAGACTGAAGACTCTCCTCTTATAGTGAGGGTTCAGACTGACCTGGGACCAGCTCCTAGTTCTGCTGCTATAGACTGAAGACTCTCCTCTTATAGTGAGGGTTCAGACTGATCTGGGACCAGCTCCTAGTTCTGCTGCTATAGACTGAAGACTCTCCTCTTATACCCCATTCACACCAACGGTGTTTCGGGGCCGGTTCGGTGCTGGTGCTTGAAAAGCACCGGGTTTCCCTGTTCACACCGCAGCGGAGCCGCCTCTAAGCTCCGGAATCCGGTTCGTTTCGAGCACCAAAAAGTTGTCCGTCTAGAAGCAAGAACCGCATACGTCACGCTTACGTCGGAGGGGGGCGAGATTAACCTGAGCTAACAGTTAAGGCGAGTACGGCAAATAAAAGTTGTAACAAGCAGTAGTGCTGAGCAAAGTGACTAGAACGCAACCACACACTTGTTAAAAAAAACACACTTTATAAAGTCAGGCAACACTAACCAGGCTTCGTGTGATTCTGTTTATTTGTACCTTACTTTGACCATCCGTTCGCTGTTATTGATCATTGTGGAGAGCAGGCAGACGTTTTGTTTGTTATTATAGCAGCTATCGGATGGAATCAATACATGGGCTGCACAGGTTGTCATGTCCGACTATCACAAGTAGAATCATAATGAAAAATACGCCGGTAAAAAGTGCCTGTAGAAAACTGCTTAGCAAGTAGTCAGTTTAGCTTCGGTTGCTATGCTAACATCACCCATGTTATACCAGAGAAACTTTCATAACAGCGTTGTGATGCCAAACAGCGTCAATTCAGACTGACACACATTCACTTAAGGGGAACTGGGGATATGTATCAGCTGCTTGTGTGACAGTCAGACAGTGAATAGAGCCGTGTGAGCTAACCCGGAGCTAACGGGAGAATACACTCCAGTGGAAGAGCAGCCAGCACTGCAGCGGTCGCTAAATGAAACACATTAATAAACAATGAACCACGGCACTCTGGAGAAAAGTATAAGGTTGGAGAAGTCCTTATTTAATTTAATCTGGCTTCGTATGATTAAAAGCAACGCAGTCCCCGGCCCGTTGTTGTTGTGAGGTGAGCTCCGTTGGGGAGAAACTCAGCGACGTAAACTGTGACGTCATGACGCAGCAGCGGCAGCACCAGTCGGGCTCTGAGCGGTGTGAAAAGAGCCGGAGCTAAACCGAAGAACCGGTTCTGAACCTGAAAAGCTCTAGAGGAGCTAGAACCGGAGTTGCGTTGGTGTGAAAGGGGTATTATAGTGAGGGTTCAGACTGATCTGGGACCAGCTCCTAGTTCTGCTGCTATAGACTGAAGACTCTCCTCTTATAGTGAGGGTTCAGACTGATCTGGGACCAGCTCCTAGTTCTGCTGCTATAGACTGAAGACTCTCCTCTTATAGTGAGGGTTCAGACTGATCTGGGACCAGCTCCTAGTTCTGCTGCTATAGACTGAAGACTCTCCTCTTATAGTGAGGGTTCAGACTGATCTGGGACCAGCTCCTAGTTCTGCTGCTATAGACTGAAGACTCTCCTCTTATAGTGAGGGTTCAGACTGATCTGGGACCAGCTCCTAGTTCTGCTGCTATAGACTGAAGACTCTCCTCTTATAGTGAGGGTTCAGACTGATCTGGGACCAGCTCCTAGTTCTGCTGCTATAGACTGAAGACTCTCCTCTTATAGTGAGGGTTCAGACTGATCTGGGACCAGCTCCTAGTTCTGCTGCTATAGACTGAAGACTCTCCTCTTATAGTGAGGGTTCAGACTGACCTGGGACCAGCTCCTAGTTCTGCTGCTATAGACTGAAGACTCTCCTCTTATAGTGAGGGTTCAGACTGATCTGGGACCAGCTCCTAGTTCTGCTGCTATAGACTGAAGACTCTCCTCTTATAGTGAGGGTTCAGACTGATCTGGGACCAGCTCCTAGTTCTGCTGCTATAGACAGTGATGCAAACACAGGTATGGTGAAAAAAGAGAGAACTATTGGAAGCAGGAAAGAAACAGCGCTGTAATGCTTCAATGAACTGGCTATTCTTTATCATGTACTCAGATCAATAGGAGACAGAGATGTTAAGTTATAAATCAAGGGTTTTTATTATTATTTACACCAGGGGTGGGGAACCTTTTTCCTTTACATTTTTACAACATCCTCCGAGGGCCGTACAAATTATTGAACTCAACCTCTGCTTAAAAAAAATCAAATCAAATCCCATTCATTTGCCTTTCTTTCATGCTGTGCAAAGAAAAAGCAACCTCTAAATCCAGATATCTCACCATGACTCGCACATGCATGCACGTGCACGGTGTGGCATGCATGCACGTGCACGGTGTGGCATGCATGCACGTGCACGGTGTGGCATGCATGCACGTGCACGGTGTGGCATGACCACCAAAACAGAAAGATATGGACACAAGATGTGTGCAAATGTATTTAGTTTCCTATCCATGTGGACCTGATTTAAGTGGTGGGGGACCTAACCTCCTCTAAGAGGGACCTCACCTCCTCTAGGGGGGACCTAACCTCCTCTAGGAGGGACCTCACCTCCTCTAGGGGGGACCTCACCTCCTCTAGGGGGGGACCTAACCTCCTCTAGGGGGGACCTAACCTCCTCTAGGGGGGGAACTAACCTCCTCTAGGGGGGACCTAACCTCCTCTAGGGGGGGACCTAACCTCCTCTAGGGGGGACCTAACCTCCTCTAGGGGGGGACCTAACCTCCTCTAGGGGGGGACCTAACCTCCTCTAGGGGGGGAACTAACCTCCTCTAGGGGGGACCTAACCTCCTCTAGGGGGGGACCTAACCTCCTCTAGGGGGGGAACTAACCTCCTCTAGGGGGGGACCTAACCTCCTCTAGGGGGGGAACTAACCTCCTCTAGGGGGGTCCTCACCTCCTCTAGGGGGGTCCTAACCTCCTCTAGGGGGGACCTAACCTCCTCTAGGGGGGGTCCGGGGGTATGCTCCCCCGGGAAGATTTATTTTTTAAATATTGAAGTTAAAAGCATCAATCTGGTGCACTTTGAGAGCAAAAAGAAGAGATCTATGGAAACATCTCTCAACACCAGATGAAACAGAACTGGAAGCAGATTTTTCTTTTTGGATATTTTACAAATCACTCCTCTTTCAAACTCTATTCTTGTTATTTTTAACAACTTTTTTGTTTCTGTCATATAGTATTTTATACCTGTTTTTCATTTAGTCTCTAATGTCTCATTAATAACTATAATGATCATATCAAGGTGTGCCTTAACCTCACTGAGCTGAGGTTATTTGAGCCTCTCAGGAGAGAGCTCTCTTCCACCTGGTTGTAGAAAAGCTGTTTAAATTCGATAGCATAGCTAGCTAACCAGATGCTAATAACAACAGATCTCCACTGTGCTTACAACTAAAGACACAGCCACGCAGACACTGCGGCATGCGTACGGCTCCTTATGGGTACTGGCATATTTGAAGAGCTGGAGCGGCGTTCCGGTGCTCTCCGTCAGCACTCTAGTCTACACTCCTTTCAGACGAGACATATACCACGTGAAGACACGTTACGCTCGTGTTGTGTTCAAGGAACCTGTCCTTGGCCAGGAAAAACAGGCACTCGCTTGTTTAATTATTTTGCAGTCTAGATTTCTTCTTCTTTTTTGAAGTGAGAAGTTGTCCGTCCGATGGACGGACGGACTCCCCCCACCCCCAAAACGAAAACTCTTCGGTTCTCCACGAATTACACAAGTCACTCAAATCAGCGTTAAAAAAGCGGGAGGAGCCGAAAAGCGACTAATTTGCATCACTGTATAGACTGAAGACTCTCCTCTTATAGTGAGTTCTGGTTCAGGCTGACCTGGGACCAGCTGCTAGTTATGCTGGTTCAGGCTGACCTGGGACCAGCTGCTAGTTATGCTGGTTCAGGCTGACCTGGGACCAGCTGCTAGTTATGCTGGTTCAGTAAAGACTCCCTGTTGATAAAGGGTTGTTGTAATGGTTGTTATTATTATGGTTACCTGGTTGAGGGATCGTTCCTGCAGCTGGTTACCGTTTCTGTCCTGAAACAGAAAACATGTTTAGCCCTAACATGGCCATTCTCAGATTAAAATGGAAAATAAGAACATTATAAATATATATCATTTACCTTCGAAGAGATATTTGAATCAAAAGAACCGTTCAGAGATCCAGAGTCACCGTCTGAGAGACAGACAGGCAGAGAGACAGAGAGACAGGCAGTGATGTTAATAATAAATCAGATCTCTTATTAAGTGAACAGACAGGTTATCGTGTTTCAGACTCACTGCTGAGCTCCTGGCTGCCATTGGTCACATTCTTCTGGAGACTCGAATCCAGCAGCAGCTCACTGAGCCTGTCCACTGAAACATAACACAGATCTGAGGTCAGTCTGAAACATAACACAGATCTGAGGTCAGTCTGAAACATAACACAGATCTGAGGTCAGTCTGAAACATAACAGTACTGAGGTCAGTCTGAAACATAACAGTACTGAGGTCAGTCTGAAACATAACACAGATCTGAGGTCAGTCTGAAACATAACACAGTGCTGAGGTCAGTCTGAAACATAACACAGATCTGAGGTCAGTCTGAAACATAACACAGATCTGAGGTCAGTCTGAAACATAACACAGATCTGAGGTCAGTCTGAAACATAACAGTACTGAGGTCAGTCTGAAACATAACAGTACTGAGGTCAGTCTGAAACATAACACAGATCTGAGGTCAGTCTGAAACATAACACAGTGCTGAGGTCAGTCTGAAAGATAACAGTACTGAGGTCAGTCTGAAACATAACACAGTGCTGAGGTCAGTCTGAAACATAACACAGATCTGAGGTCAGTCTGAAACATAACACAGATCTGAGGTCAGTCTGAAACATAACACAGATCTGAGGTCAGTCTGAAGCAGGTTACTCTGTAACAGTACTGAGGTCAGTCTGAAGCAGGTTACTCTGTAACAGTACTGAGGTCAGTCTGAAGCAGGTTACTCTGTAACAGATCTGAGGTCAGTCTGAAGAAGGTTACTCTGTAACAGTACTGAGGTCAGTCTGAAGCAGGTTACTCTGTAACAGTACTGAGGTCAGTCTGAAGCAGGTTACTCTGTAACAGTACTGAGGTCAGTCTGAAGCAGGTTACTCTGTAACAGTACTGAGGTCAGTCTGAAGCAGGTTACTCTGTAACAGATCTGAGGTCAGTATGAAGCAGGTTACTCTGTAACAGATCTGAGGTCAGTATGAAGCAGGTTACTCTGTAACAGTACTGAGGTCAGTCTGAAGCAGGTTACTCTGTAACAGATCTGAGGTCAGTCTGAAACAGGTTACTCTGTAACAGTACTGAGGTCAGTCTGAAGCAGGTTACTCTGTAACAGATCTGAGGTCAGTCTGAAGCAGGTTACTCTGTAACAGTACTGAGGTCAGTCTGAAACAGGTTACTCTGTAACAGATCTGAGGTCAGTCTGAAGCAGGTTACTCTGTAACAGATCTGAGGTCAGTCTGAAGCAGGTTACTCTGTAACAGATCTGAGGTCAGTCTGAAGCAGGTTACTCTGTAACAGTACTGAGGTCAGTCTGAAGCAGGTTACTCTGTAACAGTACTGAGGTCAGTCTGAAGCAGGTTACTCTGTAACAGATCTGAGGTCAGTCTGAAGCAGGTTACTCTGTAACAGATCTGAGGTCAGTATGAAGCAGGTTACTCTGTAACAGTACTGAGGTCAGTCTGAAGCAGGTTACTCTGTAACAGTACTGAGGTCAGTCTGAAGCAGGTTACTCTGTAACAGATCTGAGGTCAGTCTGAAGCAGGTTACTCTGTAACAGTACTGAGGTCAGTCTGAAGCAGGTTACTCTGTAACAGATCTGAGGTCAGTCTGAAGCAGGTTACTCTGTAACAGGGTTAGGGTTAGAGGAGGTGCCTCACCTTCAGCGATGGAGGTGAGGAGGAGCTGCTCCGCCTGAGGAGCAGCAGAGGAGTTTGCTCTGAACAGGTTCCTGCAGGAGGAAGAGGAGGAGGAGCTGATCTCCTCCTCTTCCTCTCCTCCTCCTCTTCCTGTGGCCTCCACCAGGTCAGAGAACAGAGTCACTCGCTCCTGCAGGAGCTCCAGCACCTCCCGGTCCTTCTGCTGGATGTCCGCTGGGGGAGGAGACATGTTAGAGAGGATGAGGAGGATGAGGAGGAAGAGGAGGAGGAAAAGGAGGAGGAAGAGGATGAGGAGGAAGAGGAGGAGGAAAAGGAGGAGGAGGAGGAGGAGGAGGAGGAGGAGGAGGAGGAGGAGGAGGAGGAGGAGGAGGAGGAAGAAGAGAAGGAGGACCATTACCTCTGAGTCTGCGCAGTAAAGCTTTGTCTTCAGTCTCGATGAGAGGAAACTCATCTCTGGATGGACAGCTGAGGACGAAACACAAGTCAACTACTGCAGTACTACTGGTACTACCTCAGAGTACTAATGGTACTACCTCAGTACTACTGGTACTACCTCAGAGTACTAATGGTACTACCTCAGTACTAATGGTACTACCTCAGTACTAATGGTACTACCTCAGTACTAATGGTACTACCTCAGTACTACTGGTACTACCTCAGAGTACTAATGGTACTACCTCAGTACTACTGGTACTACCTCAGAGTACTAATGGTACTACCTCAGTACTAATGGTACTACCGCAGTACTAATGGTACTACCTCAGTACTAATGGTACTACCTCAGTACTACTGGTACTACCTCAGAGTACTAATGGTACTACCTCAGTACTACTGGTACTACCTCAGAGTACTAATGGTACTACCTCAGTACTAATGGTACTACCTCAGTACTAATGGTACTACCGCAGTACTAATGGTACTACCTCAGTACTAATGCTACTACCTCAGTACTAATGGTACTACCTCAGTACTAATGGTACTACCTCAGTACTAATGCTACTACCTCAGTACTAATGGTACTACCTCAGAGTACTACTGGTACTACCTCAGAGTACTAATGGTACTACCTCAGTACTAATGGTACTACCTCAGAGTACTACTGGTACTACCTCAGTACTACTGGTACTACCTCAGAGTACTACTGGTACTACCTCAGTACTACTGGTACTACCTCAGAGTACTAATGGTACTACCTCAGTACTAATGGTACTACCTCAGTACTAATGGTACTACCGCAGTACTAATGGTACTACCTCAGTACTAATGCTACTACCTCAGTACTAATGGTACTACCTCAGTACTAATGGTACTACCTCAGTACTAATGCTACTACCTCAGTACTAATGGTACTACCTCAGAGTACTACTGGTACTACCTCAGAGTACTAATGGTACTACCTCAGTACTAATGGTACTACCTCAGAGTACTACTGGTACTACCTCAGTACTACTGGTACTACCTCAGAGTACTACTGGTACTACCTCAGTACTACTGGTACTACCTCAGAGTACTACTGGTACTACCTCAGAGTACTACTGGTACTACCTCATACTACCTCAGTACTACTGGTACTACCTCAGAGTACTAATGGTACTACCTCAGTACTAATGGTACTACCTCAGTACTAATGGTACTACCGCAGTACTAATGGTACTACCTCAGTACTAATGCTACTACCTCAGTACTAATGGTACTACCTCAGAGTACTACTGGTACTACCTCAGAGTACTAATGGTACTACCTCAGTACTACTGGTACTACCTCAGAGTACTAATGGTACTACCTCAGTACTAATGGTACTACCTCAGTACTAATGGTACTACCTCAGTACTAATGGTACTACCTCAGTACTAATGCTACTACCTCAGAGTACTACTGGTACTACCTCAGAGTACTACTGGTACTACCTCAGAGTACTAATGGTACTACCTCAGTACTACTGGTACTACCTCAGTACTAATGGTACTACCGCAGTACTAATGGTACTACCTCAGAGTACTAATGGTACTACCTCAGTACTAATGGTACTACCTCAGTACTAATGGTACTACCTCAGTACTAATGCTACTACCTCAGAGTACTAATGCTACTACCTCAGTACTAATGCTACTACCGCAGTACTAATGGTACTACCTCAGAGTACTAATGGTACTACCTCAGTACTAATGGTACTACCTTGGTACTACCTCAGTACTAATGGTACTACCTCAGAGTACTAATGCTACTACCTCAGTACTAATGCTACTACAGCAGTACTAATGGTACTACCTCAGAGTACTAATGGTACTACCTCAGTACTAATGGTACTACCTCAGAGTACTAATGGTACTACTTCAGTACTAATGGTACTACCTCAGAGTACTAATGGTACTACCTCAGTACTAATGGTACTACCTCAGTACTAATGGTACTACCTCAGAGTACTAATGGTACTACCTCAGTACTAATGCTACTACCGCAGTACTAATGGTACTACCTCAGTACTAATGGTACTACCTCAGTACTAATGCTACTACCGCAGTACTAATGGTACTACCTCAGTACTAATGCTACTACCTCAGTACTAATGCTACTACCTCAGTACTAATGGTACTACCTCAGTACTAATGCTACTACCTCAGAGTACTAATGGTACTACCTCAGTACTAATGCTACTACCTCAGAGTACTAATGGTACTACCTCAGTACTAATGGTACTACCTCAGAGTACTAATGGTACTACCTCAGTACTAATGCTACTACCGCAGTACTAATGGTACTACCTCAGTACTAATGGTACTACCTCAGTACTAATGCTACTACCGCAGTACTAATGGTACTACCTCAATACTAATGGTACTACCTCAGTACTAATGCTACTACCTCAGTACTAATGGTACTACCTCAGTACTAATGGTACTACCTCAGTACTAATGCTACTACCTCAGTACTAATGCTACTACCTCAGAGTACTAATGGTACTACCTCAGTACTAATGCTACTACCGCAGTACTAATGGTACTACCTCAGAGTACTAATGGTACTACCTCAGAGTACTAATGGTACTACCTCAGTAGTACTAATGGTACTACCTCAGTACTAATGGTACTACCGCAGTACTAATGGTACTACCTCAGAGTACTAATGCTACTACCTCAGTACTAATGCTACTACCTCAGTACTAATGCTACTACCTCAGTACTAATGCTACTACCTCAGAGTACTAATGGTACTACCTCAGTACTAATGCTACTACCTCAGTACTAATGCTACTACCTCAGAGTACTAATGGTACTACCTCAGAGTACTAATGGTACTACCTCAGAGTACTAATGCTACTACCTCAGTACTAATGCTACTACCTCAGTACTAATGCTACTACCTCAGAGTACTAATGGTACTACCTCAGTACTAATGCTACTACCTCAGTACTAATGCTACTACCTCAGAGTACTAATGGTACTACCTCAGAGTACTAATGGTACTACCTCAGAGTACTAATGCTACTACCTCAGTACTAATGCTACTACCTCAGTACTAATGCTACTACCTCAGAGTACTAATGGTACTACCTCAGTACTAATGCTACTACCTCAGTACTAATGGTACTACCTCAGTACTAATGCTACTACCGCAGTACTAATGGTACTACCTCAGAGTACTAATGGTACTACCTCAGTACTAATGGTACTACCTCAGAGTACTAATGGTACTACCTCAGTACTAATGCTACTACCGCAGTACTAATGGTACTACCTCAGTACTAATGGTACTACCTCAGTACTAATGCTACTACCGCAGTACTAATGCTACTACCGCAGTACTAATGCTACTACCTCAGTACTAATGGTACTACCTCAGTACTAATGCTACTACCTCAGTACTAATGCTACTACCTCAGAGTACTAATGGTACTACCTCAGTACGAATGGTACTACCTCAGTACTAATGGTACTGCCGCAGTACTAATGGTACTACCGCAGTACTAATGGTACTACCGCAGTACTTATGGTACTACCTCACTACTACTGGTACTACCGCAGTACTAGCAGTACTATGACTGAGTACTAGCAGCTGAATACTACTCACCTGCCGGCCGCCTGCTGGATCTGGCTCGTCACTGATACTTATGGTACTACCTCAGTACTAGCAGCTCTACATGTACTCTGGCTGAATAATATATGTACTCTGACTGAGT